TTCATACTGTGTTTTCGGTATTTATCACCAAACTTCAAATTTAGTGGCTTCTAGAGTTTTCTTATTAGTATTTTTATTTATTATAATGTTTCTCTTTTCAGAAGATATTGTGGATTGGCTGATTCTTTGCTGTTCCAGTTGGTTTATACTTATTGGTTCCAGGATTGTATCCGTGGTTGATGTATAATATAAAAATAAGTGCCATATAAGTTGATAATGAAATATTTAGAATATAGTTAGGTTTTGCTAAAAATAAATGCATTTTTTCATATTTTTTAAACTAGTCTTCATTAGATACTTAATTAAAAGCAAAAATAATAATTAAAAAATTGTATATAATTATGTTTAGAATATCATACTGAGAAAAGTATGGTCAAAACAACCAGAATATGGTAGAAGTTACCGTGATTTTGGCTCTATGGGAACAGCAAGGAGCTCGATAGTTTTTACCAAAGCGCTTTGATAATAATTTTTTTCAAATTGGCAGTAAAATATGTTTTTATTATCCGCGATAAAATTTGGTAATTTTAACATGATACTTTAGAGCATGTCTGAAAAAAATCATTTATCCTATTAAATGTCTCCTTTCAGTTTTGTATTTTTGACAAAATGTGTAGTAATAAGAACTATCGTTAGAACCAGAATTTTTGGCTAACCGTCAAAAGAGGAAGATCAAGTCATAAGAAAAACAAATAAATTACCGTTTGCATTAACCTCAGAAAAATGGCCAGAATATAAAAAGACTAACGTATGTACACCGAAGAGCCATTACATTATGACCACCCTCCATCTATAACAATGGGCTCACCCAGGTTTCTATGGTTTCTCTCCCAGGAACAATGTTTTCATGGGGCACATTAGGACTCATAATCCATATAAAACAATCCCTGACGTCTGTAAGCTTCTTGAACATAGTTGCAGACCAGGTTCACCCATTCATGGCAACAGTTTTTCCTGCGGGGGATGGTGTTTACCAACAGGATAATGCACCATGTCATAAGGGTCGAATCGTCATGGATTGGTTCGAGGAACATTCCAGTGACTTTCAAGTCATGTCTTGGCCCCCAAATTCACCTGACCTTAATCCAATAGAGCATTTGTGGTCCTACTTGGAAAACCAAATTCGTGCTGCCACGCTACCCCCTCGCAATGTGAGGGAATTACAGGACCTGTTGGTGAGCGCTGGGTACCAGATACCTCAGACTACCTATCAGCACCTGGTGGAATCAATGCCACGGCGGTGCTAGTAGTTTTGAGGGCTAAAGGTGGTCCTACATGTTATTAGTTGGGTGGTCATAATGTAATGCTTCTTCGGTGTATATTCATCCAAAAATAAATCAATAAAATCTCTCATCGTTATTTTTATAAAAACACTTATAAAATTCTGTGAATAAAATCTTTCTCTTGCTCAAATTTCAGGTATTTTTTTCAATTATTTAATAAGTGTTTTTGCAGATAACATTTTTGGATTTCTATTTAAATTTTTATTTGATTTTTAACCAAATTTATTCCTGTGGCGCAAAGCATTATAGAGTATATAAAAAAATCCATGGTTTTCAAACAAATCTCCAAAATGAGATGGCGACGAAAGGGTTGAAAGTTAATAAGCTAGTTACAAGAGTTAATCAATGCGTGAGAAAAGTTTTTCAACTGCGAGTTCGTGTTTGCAGAAAGTTTTTCATTTTATCTAACTCTATTTATGGGTGCGCACCACTGACACGCAGATAAAAGTATCTCAATTTCAAAATTGCTACAACTTCTAAGAAGCTGTTAAATTTGATAAGCGAAAATAAAAATCTCACCCTTTTGTTTTTATAGTACGCGAAAATAATACCGTGTTATCACCTATTATTTAACAGACCATAAAACCAACTTTTTAAACTTGTATTTTGAGAAACAAACAAAAACTTTATCTATAAAATCTTACTTTATGGTAATCTGTAAATAGACTCGTGATTAGAGTAATATTCTTTGTTACGCATAAAGAGGTAGCCAGTAGTTTGATAACTCTAGTAGACAATAGTATTGCTTTAAAGGCAGAAAAAAAGAAAAAAAAAACACGTGGTTTTGTTCTGATTAATATGACACTTTTAAAGTTATCCATCACTCTGTTTTTTGTTAGAACACTTGCCTCTATCAATCGTCAATGAACGTAGTTTTTAATTTGAAAACTATGAAGTTAACTGTTTTGGGAACATTTTTACTTGTGGCATATGTTTGTGGTGATAAAAATTATATTACTGATGATATCCCAGAAAAACTGGTGTCCTGGAATATTCATCCACTTTTAGATGCACCTGGATAATTTTTTTTAAAAAATTTTTTCCGCACATGCGCTGCATAAAGCAACTACTTCAATTACTCTTATCTAGCGCAGTTTTTATTATTATTTTTTTAGTTTTAAAGCAATAATTTCGTTATCAGTTTAAAATTGATTCAAACGCTTTGTTTAATTTTTTTTTTAAATATTTAAGTTATAGCAAAAGTGGCACTAGACCTAGTATATATTTCGGACATTTACCAAAGGTCTAGTCATACTAGGTCTGGTTAAGTGCCATTGCCCGGTATACATTTGCCCGCCCGGTATATCCTACACTGATGTTTTTTTTAAGTCAAGTGCCATTGCCCGGTATACATTTGCCCGATATACCCTACACTGATGTTTTTTTAAGGTTCAGTGCCAATGCCTGGTATACATTTGCCCGGAATACACTACACTGATGTTTTTTTAAGGTCAAGTGCCACTGCCCGGTATACCCGACACTGATGTTTTCGACACTGAACCGACCCGACACTGAAGTCAAGTGGCATTGCCCGGTATATATTTGCCCGATACTCCAAACACTGATGTTTGTTCTAATCTATAGTCAGTAAGTATTAAAATATCGAATAAATATAATTATATCCACGAATAAATTAATATCAAATCGGATGTAATAAATATTTCGGACATTCACCAAAGCGACTAATTTGATTGTCAACATTCACCGGTGAAAGTCTACAACCACCGATTTCGATCATTCACAGTAACATGCACAACATTTACATAATAACCTCATCAGGACGATTATTTCATACTTTGCCTAAATAGCATCCGGCATTTCAAAAAATAAAAATAATTGGTTTTGTTGGCGATGATCTCGTAAGGCGATAAAGAATCATGCATAGTACAGGTAAGGAAGATATTAACCTCGAAGGAAAAGTGGATGAAAACCCCAAGGAACCGTCATTTTTATAACTTTCATTATTTTCACTGTTTTCTTCTTTAAAATGTTTGATTCGTGTCAATTTTCTTGCGGAATTTCTACTGCATTGCGCAACTTTCCTTCGGAATTGTAGCATTTAGCTGCTTTATACATGATTTTTTATTTCTCTTTTTATTCCTGCGTTAAAACTATCATCAAAACAAATTGGTTGCCATTTAAAAGAAGAAGACTTTTTTCTAATGGTTTTCCTTCTTCAAAATTCTTCGAAACAGATGCAATTAATATTTTATGACTAAAGAGAAAGGAAATATTTCATTTTGTAGAATTTGCTTACTCGATTCCCGAAAGCTGTTTTAAGTAGATCAACTTTTTTAAGTTCTCTAACTTAAAACTGCAGATAAATGCTAAGAGTAATTGATTAATCTCGTTAGATATACAGAGTGTTCCCTCATCACCACAATTAATATATATTTTTTAGAATATTTGTCAATAATTAAGTGAATATTACATTCTTATTTTAATATTTAAGTAAGGAAAAACGAAAAAAAAAATAATCATTTTAAAAGCGCCGTTAAAAACAGCGAAACCAGTGAGATTAATAAAACAGAAAGTTTCTTTAAATATCACCTCTAAGCCTCCGTCAATATTCATGGGGGCATCAAACTCGTTTTAATGTTTTGAATCTAGTTTTCCTCCATAACGATTCGCAAAGGTTTTAACAAAGTATTCTTTATCACCTGAATAAACATTAATATGCAACCTTAAATTCGCCTTAATGTTTGATAAGGATTCTAAAAATTGACGTATGAAGAGCAGGTGTCCTGGAAAAAATATCGGTAGCAAAGATTCTCTAATCTAAATAACTTGTTTTTACAAATATGAAAGTAAATGCTGTGAGTTTTCGAACATCTTTTTTGAAATTTTATTGAGTTTTCTAGTTTCATAGATTTTTTTTACAATGATTAATTAATGCCGTCTGTTACGTAGACCCCAAATTTGCAAATTTATAAGTACAATATTATAGGGCTTTAACAGTATTTAAAAAAGAAAAATAATCATGGTAAAGTGATGAAGTAGTCCTAAGTTTACATTTTCGATAGTTTATATTTCCTGTTCATAAAAAAAATATTTTTCTATTTTTACAGAAGCATCCTAAACTTATCTTTTTACGTTAATTAACAATTCAAACTGAAAAAAAGTTTGCTTGAAAGCAGAATTTCTTAATTATAACAAAATTACGCGATTATTAAAATTACTTTAAAACAAAGTTACTCAAGTAACAAACTTACTTAGACAAGCAGACAAAATACTGAAAAAGAAAATTCTAGTAGCCTAAAAGTATTTGAAAACCTAGTAGTATATAAAAACAAAGTAATTAATTGCACTCTAGAGATATCAAATTAAATATTTAAATTTTAATCTCATTATATTCTAAAATTTGATCTTATCATGTCAATATTAAAGAATTAAAACTATAAATAAGATTGAATGTTACAGAACAGACAGCACTCATAGTTCTAACACATAATATATTTTTGAAAACATAAATAATGTGATGACATCATCCATTTTTTATTCTCACCTTATTACGTGAAAAGGAAATGACTTTTTGAAACGTGATTTCTAAAAAACGAACAAAAACTATTTAAACAATAATTTCCACTCTACCTAAATATGTAAAGGAACTCGTGACCAAATAGATGTTCTTTGTCACACATTAAAAGGTTAAAAATGCAATGATAATTTTATCAGACAATGGTGTTGCTGTTAGCGTACGAAAGATATGTTGTTGTGTAATAATTAAAAAACAAACAATACTTTTAAAACTATCAATCACTTCATTTTCGCTAGCAATCGTTGATGTCTATTGTCATTTCTGATTTGTGAACTATGAAGTCAATAATTTTAATAATATTTATATTCTTTGCATACGTTGGTGGTGAAATTATTTATAACTCTGATGATTTTTCAAAAAATCAGGAAAGAACGATTTACGATGTAAATAGATTTGTAAGAGACACGACAAAATGTATTGCGTCAGCTAAAATGCTGGAAGGAAAAAAAGAATTTTTTATAAATAATAATGTTCACAACGATATTAAGTTATTAAACTTTTTCAATCTTATTCCTGCCTTGATTAATAGTATCAGCAATGTTACAAACAGCACTTGTTCTGCGGATTTGTCTTACATTAAAGATAATGTCGATTTCAAAAATTATCAGGATTCTTGGGCAATAAAAAGTAAGTATGTTCAGTTTTCTTTTTATATTTAAGTATGTTATAGTAATACGTGTTGATTAGGACCGTAAAATATACAATATGCAATAATATGCAATTTGTCACTTTCAAACATAAATATTATATTTTAAATTTAATTAATAAACTTAGACACACTTTCAGAAGAAATAGGCTCCAGTCGACAAGCAAAAATATGTATAACTTCCTTAATTTTATTGCACTTTAATTTAAACGTTTTCATTAAGAGTTAACGTTTTTATTCAAAATGAATCCCAGTAATTAGTCGCTTAAAATAAATGTTCAAAAGATTATTTCAATAAATCGCTTAGCCAGACAACGTACAGTTTTCAAGGAAGGTTTTTGCGATTTAATGGTTCCAAGTGCAGCAAATTAAAAGAATAAGATATTAATTGGAAAATCAATATGTTTTTTATTGCCTTATTTTAATAAATTATAATGAGCATCGAAAATATTCTATAGAAATTTAAAAAATAACTATTTCAATCTTAAACTTATTTCTATCGAAAAAAATTTATTCTGATAAAAAAAATAAAGTTATTGCTATGTTTATTATAGAGTGTATTTTATGAGTCATATAATAATAGCACAAAAGAAACAAAATGTGTGGAAAATTTATCATACCTGGTGGCAAAATTACAAAACAACAAAAGCACTCGAACTTCAATTTAAGCGCCCTCTATCTGTGAGAGGATTGTTATATATCCTTTGCAGATAGCGAAAGATAAGAAATTCATTTTTACTGAAGCGCTACTCTTATTTCAATTTCGGAGTTTGGAAATCGAAAATAAAACATTTCTTTTTATAATAATAAAACGAATTCCAAAATATTTCGTCGCTTCGAGGTCGTCAACGTCAGTGTTATATTGTTGTCAGTGTCTATGTCTACAGATCTCTAACATAACCTCAGAAAATGGACTGATATTGTTTTTTGCCGGTGACAACAATCGTCACCCACGCGTTGTCACGTCACAAATTGTTTTTGATCACCCACGCGTGACGTCTCTTGCAGGTACCTAATTAAATCTGATCCGAAAAAGTTGATTGAGGGAAAAAAATTAATATTCGATAATTATTGCGAGAGTTATTAATTGTTAAACTTAACATAAATATCATACAGGTCACTCTGCAGGCCATAGAAATGCAACTGTGGAGTTGAAATTTGGACAGCTATAAGGGCTACATTTAATTATGAGCTTAACACACAGCTTTTTTTTTCTTCGGAATTTCAATTTGTTTGAAAATTGTTAAGTTAAAAAATTTTAAGTGCTTTTTCATAAATTTTTTCTCACTTTCTTTTAAGTTACATTTTGCTTTACTATGCAAATTTGAAATTACGATGGGTTGTAGAAATTTATGTAGGAAATAAGACCAAATAAAAAAATTACATTCGACAATTAGTTTAGGAAATATTAAATTTTAAATCTGTAGGAAAAAAATACCATGCTTAGACACCTAAAACACATTGCAATGAAACTATGGTAATTAAAATTTCACTTGCTGAAAAAAGCAATTTCCACTTGTAAACTTAATTCGAATTTTGTTTTGAGATTTCCATTCGTTTCAAAGTTGTTGCAAATTTAGATGCTTTTTTGTGAATTTTTTGTTCAGTTTGTTTGCTTTAAGTATTGATTATTTATCCATTGGTAGGAAAAATTTATTTTTCTTTCAGGATATTTTTATTTTTTTATTTTGTAAGCTCATGCTCGAGTAGATATCAATCAAAAGCAGCAAAAAAAAAAGAGAGAGATTACAAGGTCACCAGATGTAAAACTTAATATTTATACTGAAATTTTAAAAAATTACAAAGTTTAATAAAGAGAGATAAAAACCATTTCCCATTTGATTTGTTATAAGTCTCATCTACGTGTAAAATTACTATTCATTCATTACTTCTTATTGAGTCAAATAATCTGCATATACTTAGGTTAATTTGTTTATTTTTTTTCAATTGCAGATGATTATTTTTCATATCTAGGTAATTGAATATAGGCTATTTCGCTACTATAAGCATATTAACAAAATATCCTTACATCATACCGTAATAATAGTATATTTTGAAACCAAAACGTTCTGTGTTTTTGTGGAAAATAATGACTAAAGATAAAACACTGATGAATGAGACGGAACTACGTTGGCTGGCGAGGAGAGAACATAGCCTCCTAGTTAATATCAAATAAACGTTAAAATATCACATAAATAAAGATGAAAACGGATGCAACAAATATTTTTACTTTTTTAGTCATTAAAGCAGTTTTGTGAATGTTGGCCCTCACCGAAGAATGTTGACATTCTCCCCATTTTGGATTTAATGATAACAAAGTCTATATTTCATCCAATTGAAAGTCTTATAAATCTTATGTGTATGTTTCAGTGTTGGATTCCTTTGGAAAACCAGAAAGTGGAATATTGGAAGGAAATCTGAAATGGCTGGGAAATTTTGATGAATGTAGAAGTGTATATGCGCCGAAGGAAAATGACAGAGGAGGATTTCATGGGCAATACTGCACCATGCAAGTTACAGTGGCGGTAAATTTATGGGAATTAATTTACACTGTTTGAAATGTAGGATCATGTTGATTAGAAGTAAAAGACAAAAATGATACAAAATTAAACCATATTATTATTCAATTTAATTGCTCTTAAAATTTGCTACACGAGATTCCAGTACATATTTAACGAGAACACAATTTCATAAAAACGAAGCAAAATTGAAACATATTATTGTTAAATTTAAATTGTCTTAAAACTTGTTATACGAAACCTCTGTAAACATTTAACGAGAACACAGTTCAATTTAAGGCCTAATTAAGATTGCTAAAATTTTTTGTAGTTTTATGGTTCAACGTTGTAGCACATTTTTTCTGTTACAGTATCTAAAATGTCCCAAGTATACGAATTTTTTTATTTGAAGTATATTTTGTTTGATTGTTGAAATAAAAAAAAATTATAAAAAAATTTTGTAGCAGTTTTGCAGAAAGTTTTTCTCGTTAATATCATTCCATTACGCCTGTTTTCAAAAGAGTAAAAAAAACCTTCATATTTGCGATTTCTGTATTTAAAGAAACTATTGGGGTTATATTAGAGAATTCCGTTTTAAATCAAAATAAATTTTAAAAAAGAACATTGTTCAGAGATAATGCATTGATAGTGTATCAAAGATCCTATCTAAAAGGGCTTTTTTAAATGCTATAAGGTGCAGGTTGATGCAAAAAATAAACATACAAGTAATCATGAAAAACTTATATTTTAACCCCTTCAATTTGCTGTTTAATTTCTTAAGGCGAAAATTCACAAAAAATATTTCATAAATTTTGAAAAAAGACCTTTTGGAAGTCTGCATATAAGGAAAGTATAAATTGAAACTCATAAGTATGAAAATGTGACGGAGATTTTTGTATAAAGGATTATGGATTAAAGTAGTTTTCTTAAGAAATACATGCCTTTGTCTTAAAACAGATTTTTTATGCTTGGGTACAAGAAAAGTTCGTGAATTTTAAAAAAAAAATATTTACAAATTTAACTGAAATTTTTCGCGAAATTTCAGTTTCACAGAAAATTTTACTTCTACTCTATTTGAAATGTAGGAACATGTTAATTAGTAATATGATGCAAAAACGATGAAAAATTGAACATATTATAGTTTAATTTAATTCTTCTTAATTGCTCTTAATTATTCTAATAATTCATCTGCTACTAGAAACTTTAATATGCATTTAACCAAAGCACAATTCACAGTTTAATTCCTAATTAATATTGCAACAAATTTTTGTAGCAATACGGTTAAACGATGTAACTCATTTTTCCTATTGTAGTATCTAAAATGTCCAAAGTGTACGGATTTTTTGTTATCTGAGAAATATTTTGTTTCATTGTAGTAACAGAAGATGAAAATTCATAAAAAAAGTTTCGTAAGATAAGGCATTTCGATTAGGCAGACAGTTCTCCTCGATAACACCTTTCAGTTCTGAAAAAAAAATTCGTAATGAAAAAAAAAAATCGAACGAACTATTTTGGCTTTTGAAAAGTACTGTTTAAAAAAAATCAAACCAGGAAAAAAAATCTTGTTTTGAGATAATGCGTATATTTGATTATGCATTTCATTTTACTTTTAATATCAACGACCATAGCTAAAACTGTTTTCTAAACGCTGTAAGGTTTATGTTGATGCAAAAAGTAAACTTATAAGTAAACAAACTTACATTTTGAAGCTTTCACTTTAGAATTTGCTTTTCTAAGAAGAATATTCATTAAAAATTTTTAATGCTTTTCTTTCATAAAACTTGTTGGAAGATTACGCATAAGGGAAGTATAAATTGAAACTCATAAATATAAGAAAGTGACGGTGATTTTTCTTTTTCTTATAGAGTAGCATGGTATAAAGTACTTTTCCTAAACTATAAATGCGGTTATCTTAAAGCAGTTTTTTTTTATGTTTGCATACAAAATAAGTTCTTGAATTTTTAAACTAATTTTTTACAAATTGATCCAAAATTTTTCGTAAAATTTCCACATTACGTAAAATTTTATTTGCTTTTTAAATTTAAATGATAAATGATAAACTCAATNCAGACGATTATTTTTCTTCTTATTTATTCTTATTGAGTCAAATAATCTGTATATACTTAGGTTAATTTGTTAGTTTTTTTTCAATTACAGGAGATTATTTTTCTTCTTATTTATTCTTATTGAGTCAAATAATCTGTATATACTTAGGTTAATTTGTTAGTTTTTTTTCAATTACAGGAGATTATTTTTCTTCTTATTTATTCTTATTGAGTCAAATAATCTGTATATACTTAGGTTAATTTGTTAGTTTTTTTTCAATTACAGGAGATTATTTTTCTTCTTATTTATTCTTATTGAGTCAAATAATCTGTATATACTTAGGTTAATTTCTTAGTTTTTTTTCAATTACAGACGATTATTTTTTAAATCTAGGTAATTTAATATTGGTTATTTCGCTACAATTAGCATATTAACAAAATATTATTACATCAAACTACAATAATTGTATATTTTAAAAACAAAACGTTATTTCCTTTTTTTTTTTACAAAATAATGACTAAAGATAAAACACTGATGAACTACGTTGGCTGACGAGCAGAGAGCGTAGACTCCTAGTTAATATCAAATAAACATTAAAAATATCTCATAAATAAATATGAAAACGGATGTAACAAATTTTTCTACGTTTTTAGTCATTAACGCAGTTTTGTGAATGTTGGCCCTCACCGAAGTATGTTGACATTCACCCCATTTCGGACTTTAATGATAACAAAGTTTATATTTTATCCAATTGAAAGTCTTATAAATCTTATGTGTATGTTTCAGTGTTGGATTCCTTTGGAAAACCAGAAAGTGGAGTATTGGAAGGAAATCTGAAATGGCTGGGAAATTTTGTTACTTTTAAATTTTTCTGCGTTTTTAGTCATTAAAGCAGTTTTGTGAATGTTGGCCCTCACCGAAGAATGTTGACATTCACCCCATTTTGGACTTTAATGATGGACTTAAATGGCTGGGAAATTTTGTTACTTTTAAATTTTTCTACGTTTTTAGTCATTAAAGCAGTTTTGTGAATGTTGGCCCTCACCGAAGAATGTTGACATTCACCTCATTTTGGATTTTAATGATAACAAAGTTTATATTTTATCCAATTGAAAGTCTTATAAATCTTATGTGTATGTTTCAGTGTTGGATTCCTTTGGAAAACCAGAAAGTGGAGTATTGGAAGGAAATCTGAAATGGCTGGGAAATTTTGATGAATGTAGAAGTGTATATGCACCGAAGGACAAGGACAGAGGAGGATTTCATGGGCAATACTGCACCATGCAAGTTACAGTGGCGGTAATTTAATGGAAATTAATATACACTGTTTGAAATGTAGGATCATGTTGATTAGAAGCATAAGGCAAAAATGATACAAAACTAAACTATATTATTGTTCAATTTAATTGTTCTTAAAATTTGACTCTAGTACGAGACTCTAGACACGAGATTCTAATACATATTTAACGAGAACACAATTTCATAAAAACGAAGCAAAATTGAACCATATTATTGTTAAATTTAAATTGTCTTAAAATTTGTTATAAGAAACCCTTGCAAACATTTAGCGAGAACACAATTCAATTTAAGGCCTAATTAAGATTGCTAAAATTTTTTGTAGCTATATGGTTCAACGTTGTAGCACATTTTTTCCGTTATAGTATCTAAAATGTCCCAAGTATGCGAATTTTTTTATTTGAAGTATATTTTGTTTCATTGTTGAAAAGAAAAAGAAACTTATAAAAAAGGTTTTGTAGCAGTTTTGCAGAAAGTTTTTCTCGTTAATATCATTCCATTATGCCTGTTTTCAAAAGTGTAAAAAAAACTTCATATTTGCGATTTTTGTATTTAAAAAAACTATTGGGGTTACATTAATGAATACCGTTTTAAGTCAAAATAAATAAAAGAAACGAATATTGTTCAGAGATAATGAATTGATAGTGTATCAAAGATCCTAGCTAAAAGGGCTTTTTAAACGCTATGAGGTGCAGGTTGATGCAAAAAATAAACATACCAGTAATCATAAAAAACTTATATTTTAATCCATTCAATTTGCTGTTTACTTTCTTAAGGCGAAAATTCACTAAAAGTATTTCATAAATTTTCCTTTTGAAAAAAGATCTTTTGGAGGTCTGCATATAAGGAAAGTATAAATTGAAACTCATAAGTATGAAAACGTGACGGAGATTTTAGGATAAAGGATTATGGATTAAAGTAGTTTTCTTAAACAATACGTGCCTTTGTCTTAAAACAGAATTTTTATGCTTGTGTACAGGATAAGCTCTTGAATTTTTAAACAAATTATTTACAAATTTAACCGAAAGTTTTCGCGAAATTTCAGTTTCACAGAAAATTTTATTTCTACTCTATTTGAAATGTAGGAATATGTTGATTAGTAATATGATGCAAAAACGATGAAAAATTGAACATATTATAGTTTATTTAATTCTTCTTAATTGCTCCTAATTATTCTAATAATTCATCTGCTACTCGAATCTTTAATACACATTTAACCAAAGCACAATTCACAGTTTAATTCTTCTTAATTGCTCTTAATTATTTTAATAATTCATCTGCTACTCGAAACTTTATTACGCATTTAACCAAAGCACAATTCACAGTTTAATTCCTCTTAATTGCTCTTAATTATTCTAATAATTCATCTGTTACTCGAAACTTTAATACACATTTAGCCAAAGCACAATTCACAGTTTAATTCTTCTTAATTGCTCTTAATTATTCTAATAATTCATCTGTTACTCGAAACTTTAATACACATTTAACCAAAGCACAATTCATAGTTTAATTCTTCTTAATTGCTCTTAATTATTCTAATAATTCATCGATTACTCGAAACTTTAATACACATTTAACCAAAGCACAATTCACAGTTTAATTCCTAATTAATATTGCAACAAATTTTTGTAGCAATACGGTTCAACGATGTAACTCATTTTTCCTATTGTAGAATCTGAAAATGTCCAAAGTGTACGGATTTTTTGTTATCTGAGAAATATTTTGTTTCATTGTGGTAATAGAAGATGAAAACTCATAAAAAAAAATTCGTAAGATAAGGTATTTCGATTAGGCAGACAGTTTTCCTAGATAACATCTTTCAGTTATGAAAAATAAAAGTTTGTAATGAAAAAAAAAACGAACAAACTATTTTGGCTTTTGAAAAGTACTGTTTAAAAAAATCAAACAAGGAAAAAAAATCTTGTTTTGAGATAATGCGTATATTTGATTATGCATTTCATTTTACTTTTAATATCAACGACCGTAGCTAAAACTGTTTTCTAAACGCTGTAAGGTTCATGTTGATGCAAAAAGTAAACTTATAAGTAAACAAACTTACATTTTGAAGCTTTCACTTTAGAATTTGCTTTTCTAAGAAGAATATTCATTAAAAATTTTTAATGCTTTTCTTTCATAAAACTTGTTGGAAGATTACGCATAAGGGAAGTATAAATTGAAACTCATAAATATAAGAAAGTGACGGTGATTTTTCTTTTTCTTATAGAGTAGCATGGTATAAAGTACTTTTCCTAAACTATAAATGCGGTTATCTTAAAGCAGTTTTTTTTTATGTTTGCATACAAAATAAGTTCTTGAATTTTTAAACTAATTTTTTACAAATTGATCCAAATTTTTTCGTAAAATTTCCACATTACGTAATATTTTATATGCTTTTTAAATTTATATGATAAATGATAAACTCAATTTAATTTTAATTTTTTTTAAACAGTCGTAGGGCTCGTAAAACTGACATCTAAAATATGCGAGAGAAAAAAGCCTAGTGATCTTGATTAACTTTACCAGAAGGAGTAATAACCTTTAGGAAATGTAATTCTATTTAAGCCGCGATGGCTTCGCCTTTCAATGAGGCGAACCGGGTTCCAATCCCAGTCGATACGAATTCTGCATCCGACTTGCACCGATCACAGTGCTAACGTGAAATATCCTCAAAAGCAGACGGATCATGGATTAGAGTTCCCTTGCTGTCAGGCTAACCGTTGGAGGTTCTCGTGGTCTTCCTCCCCATGTAACGCAAATGCGGGTTAGCTCCATCAAAAAGTTCTCCACGAAGGTAAATTTCTACCAATTCTCGATCCAGGAGTACTTTTGTCTTCTGAATTAGATTCAAAATTACAAGGCTACGGATTTGAACATTAGTAGTCGTAATCCCATAAAATTGGGTCGGCTGTTCAACGACGGTTATAAAATAGAAAATAAAATGTAATTCTATTAATTTATAAAACTATAAAGAACCATCTTGAAATAAGTAATCGCCTATTACGCCGTGTTACATGTTCATCAACATGTTACATGACCTGTTATTTACTTTATTTATTTTTTTAAAAGTATTTTTCAAAACTAAAAATCAGACAACATGCATACATGCTCCGACTCAGCAACCTTATTGCTGTTGTTTCTAATGACACTTGGTCAAGCCGCACTCACCAGCGAGTGGCCTTTTAAAAATTAGTCACGAAGATGCGTCTTTCGTTAGGTAGGAGTGCTCCGCAAGGATGTAAGTACATCTTAGCTCAGAAACCCATGGACAGATGGCAGTACCACTCATTCCAGAGGTCACTTCCTTAATTTAGACGTAGATATAAATGGGAAATAAATTTTCTCTTGATTTCTGCTCAGCAAATGACCATTGGACTCTTGTTTCCACAGATTTTATGAGCACGTACACCGAAGAGCTATTACATTATGACCACCCTCCATCTATAACAATAGTCTCACCCAGGTTTCATGGTTTCTCGCTCAGGAACAATGTTTTCATGGGGCACATTAGGATCCATAATCCTCATTAAAACAACCCCTGACGTCTGTAAGCAGCTTGAACATAGTTGCAGACCAGGTTCACTTATTCATGGCAACAGTTTTTCCTCCGGAGGATGGTGTTTACTAACAGGATAATGCACCATGTCATAAGGGTCGAATCATCATGGATTGGTTCGAAGAACATTCAAGTGACTTTCAAGTCATGTCTTGGCCCCCAAATTTACCTGACTTTAATCCAGTAGAGCATTTGTGGTCCTACTTTAAAAACCAAATTCATGCTGCCACGCTACCCCCTCGCAATGTGAGGGAATTGCAGGATCAGTTGGTGAGCGCTTGGTACCAGATTCCTCAGACTACCTATCAGCACCTTGTGGAATCAATGCCACGGCGGGTGCTAGCAGTTTTGAGGGATAAAGGTGGTCCTACATGTTATTTTCAGGGTGGTCATAATGTAATGGCTTATTGATGTATATGTCACTGATTATATATGAGCTAATCCATTGGCTATCACTGTCCGGTAGTGACCTTTTTCTCTGTATCTATTTCATTGGCGCCAATAGCCAATTGTACAGCTCTAGTGCGACGTAAATCAACAACTATTTCATTGCTTTTTCTACCCTCGACGATAGAAGAATGTTTCTCTTTCCTACACACGGTGTATTCTAAAATTCTTGACATACCTAAATTCCAGATAATATGTGCATACATTTTTATTCCAGGAGTATCTCCCAATTTCAATTGCTGTGTGTTTACCTGACACGTGTAAACCATCTGAATTTGTAGATATATTTAATAATTCAAGTAAGTATTTTTAATGTATCTTGTAAACATTTGAAGTTTACTAATTTCTTCTCGAGTTCGCTAAAATAGTTCAGTTTTACAGTTTTTAAAAAATAAAAAAAAATGGTAAAGTTTAAATTAGTAGAACATTACAGATTTGTCATTTAGGATTGATTGAGAATTATCCCCCAGTTTTTATTGCAGATTAGTTAAATGAATAGACAATGTTTTCTACTCTTTTTCAGGTTTCATTCCAGCAATAAACAAAACTGGCATCGGTTTTAATGTGACTGCCTTAACTTGCAAAGCTAAATCATTGGAATTGAGTACTGGAGGAATTGTGACATTGTAAGTATTTTTTTTAAAAATAAAATATATTCTTTATTTTTTATGCTTCAATTAGGATTTTGTACTTAACTTTTATTCATGTTATCATTGCAATTTATGTTGCGTTTTTGAATTTTCAATAGGCTTTTCACTTATGCGCTTTTTCATGTTAATCCCTTAGGCTGGCGCATAAGTGAGAGTTTGCTGTAACCTTAATTTTTTTCTTTCAAATGTCGGTAAAATTTCTGAACGATGGACGCGGGAATGTTCTAGTTTCAAAAACGATCTTAATGAAAATTATCAACTTTAAGAGCATAGCATTTGTGACAGGACCGTTTAAACAAGTCCATACGGGAAAACAAAAGATGCTGCAACGATGGATCGAAGTTTGACTGTATATGCATTGTATAATATTATTCATGGCAAATATTTTCATAACGATATTATGGTATCTTCCAGGTGTATAATGTCTGTATTCTTCCTTCTGGTATTCTTGGGGAGTTCTGTTACTGCCTTCAAATATTTCGCCCATTCAAATACTCCGAAAGATGAATGTAAAAGTTCTGAGGGAAAAGTTTCTGAGTATTTCGTAGACAGGAGTTTGGAAGAGCCATTGGTAATTAATGAAGGTTCACCAACAAAATTAAAAGGTTAAATATTCCACTGTAACAATTTTTTCTCAATTGTATATAATAAAAAAAAACTATTTGAATCATATTAAGTAGTTTTCAAGAATATAAGGAAAGCCAATATCTATAAATTTTATATAACAGTGTTTGTTAATCTTTTAAAATCCAGGTCTTAACACTAGATAGCCTAAAGGAAGTCATTTTGACTGCTTTTTTACTGCTTTTTCATTTACAAAAAATGTACAAATAATAATGCATAAATTAATCTTTTCTTTCCAAGTGAAGCCAATTTTTTTATTGCTAATATTTACTAATAACTTATTATATAACTGTAAATAATATAAAAATATTAAAAATTAATTAAACAAATTCCTATGCACATTTAGTTATTCTTTCACAATGCAGTCATTTTGACTGCTTTTGGGCAATTTAGGTATATACTAAGTTTCAGTCTTTCTAGTGTTAAATAATGGAATGGAATTATAATTTTACTAAGAAGTATTGAAGTCAGAAGAAAGTATACCCATTAAAGCAATGAAATATTTTTAACACTAGAAAGACTGAAGCTTAATATATACCCATATTGCACAAAAGCAGTCAAAATGACTGCATTGTGAAAGAATAACTAATGTGTAAAGAAATTTCTTAAATTAATTATTATTATTTTTTATATTATTTACAATTATATAACAAGTTATTAGTAGATATTAACAATAAAAAAATTTACTTCACTTGGGAAAAATATTATTTATGCATTATTTATTTGTACATTTTTTGCAAATGAAAAAGCAGTTAAAAAGCAGTCAAGATGACTTCCTTGGGCAATCTAGTGTTAAGAAAATACAGGGTTATTCATAATTTCTTCCGCCTGTAAACTCCATTTTCCTTTACTATAACTGGCTTCAATGGTACATGTTACTGCCATCTACCGGCAACTGCTTAAATTAAAACTTGAATACTTTCGGAATAAATCCATATGTTCTTTTTTGCCATATTCGTCTTCGATTTTTTACTATAACGAATCGAAACCCCGGAGGGAATTATTAATAACCCTGTATAATAGTATATTTTAAAAAAAAATTCAACAATTAAAATTATCTAACTTTTTTAATTATAATTAATTATTAATTTATTTAATGGAAAACATTTCAATTTTTAGAATTTTTTTCATCGAAATTTTACTTATATATTTTAAAACGCTTTCAGGAAAAGAATTATGCAGACTTTAATGAGTGTAAACATTTTTGGACTTATTAAATTCATTGTATTGCCCTAAAACACAGATTTATTATCTTTTTTGTAGTAGTTTTTTATAGCTATTTTTATGTTTTGTTTCTTTAAATGTTGAATATTTCATTCTTTAGTGTTCATCGACATGTGTGATCCTGTCTTAAACTGCTTTTGCGTCTTTACGAATGGATCTAAATTGTTCAACACTGATTCCACAGAGGGACAACTCTTGTGCCTTCACGGTATTCGATTTCTAAGTATGACATGGGTCATTGTGTGCCATGTGTATATGTCACCTATTGCTCAAATCAGTAAGCATAATTCAAACACATATTTTTATTCTGAGTCAACTAAATACTTATAAATTTATTTCTTGCTCAAATTATAAAAGAAGTTAAATAATTCAAGTGTATTTTGAATATTTTCTTAAAAAGAAACTATCGAGGGTCTCAAAGTAAATCTGGTATTGTCCTAATATGCGAACCACCTCACTTAACTGTGTAGTTACTTTATTGCTCGATAGGTCGCAGCACTAAAATTACAGTCTATTGCCTTTTCCACAGAATATATTGCATTGGGACAAAACCGTAAATCTTTTCTTGTTTACTTTTTAAATATTTAAGACTATTTAGTTTGAACAATTTTCAGTTGCAATAAACTTTAAATTAATGGTTCGTAATCTCAGTGTCTGTCACTGAAAAATACATTACCTCATTAAAAAGTGTTGATTAGTCTGAGTTAATTAAGGCTTGAAATTAATAATAATAAAATGTAAGTGAAAAGGGAAAAATTGAGGTGATCTCTGTCTGATCGTGGAGACCAAGTCACCTAAATAAAACCACGGTATATGACGTTAAAAATATATAAAAATACATCAAACAATGTTTTTTTTCCATGACTTTCATGTCATGATTACTTTCTTACAATCAAGAGATTATCATTCGGTGAGGTCAAAGGCACTAAGAACGGGGGATCATCTTTTGATTGCTAGACAGTAGTAATATTTTATTAGAGTTAAAATAAATAAAAATGTAATAATGTTATGTTAAAAAATTTAGGAGGCGCCATCTATCGATTCATGCTGTAACGACACATTTAAGAAAAGTACCTCACATATTTCGACGGCACCGAAAACTTTTCTTCTTTACCTTTCTAATCCTTAAGATTATTAAGATCATCTCTTGATTGCCAGACAGTAACAACATTTTATTAGAATTAAAGTAAATGCAGAAATATTATGTGCATTTATTTACAAAAATTAATAGCGTTTATATATAGGTGAAAATAAAGAGAGGCTAGTGTCAGAAGCAATAAAAAATAAATGAAAATGAAAATTAAAAAACTGTTCATAATTTACAGATAAAGTGCTTGCTCAAAATTAGAGGTTATTCTTATAAAGATTTGATGGAAACAACAACATTGTGAGAGCAACAGCTTTTATGTACATCTGTCTTATGTATTGCTTGCAGGCAAAATAATAGTTTATTTGAGTGAGATGATTTTTCCGTAAAGTTGACGCAAATTTAAGAAATTTTCCACCCACAAATCATTGAAATCTTTCCCAATGCAATTAATTAATTTCAAAATAATGTTAAAAAATTATTGTAATTTTTGTTGTACATAATAAATTATTTATGTACCGGAATTTTTCTAATGTTTTGTTTTACATAAAAGGATCTATGAAAAGTCTCCTGCCACTCATTGATAATTTGCCTTTCCAAGCCATACTCAATGGATGGTATTCGGTTGATTCATTTTTCGTGCTCAGGTGAGTCAGAAATTTAATTTATTTTTAATATACAGGGTGTTCTGTAAATATCACCCTCAATATATATTTTTAGAATCGTTATAAAAAATATACACATAAGTATACATAATGTGGGGTTAAACACAAAAAGTTAGTATATAAGTGGGAAAAAATATAATCGTGAATGTAAAGTGCACAAAAAAGAGGAAAAAAAGGAACACCCTGAATAAATTTTGATTGCATGATCGGATTTTCATGCACATGAACTCGATTTCAATGGTTCAAGGGCTGACTTGAAATATGATAATTAGAAGTGCTGAAGATATTTTAAGTTATGAAAGACACAAAAACGTACTTTCCCTGAATAAATATGCCTTTTTTTCCCGACGGATTCCTGACCTTAAAATATTTAGAATGGCCGGAATGTGGTTTAATGGCTCTCTTCTCCAGTAGTTTGATGAGGAGATCGGTAGAATGTTTAAAAGTTGTTAATTTTACTTTTTGCATATTTCGCCTTATCTCGTTAAGCGAAATAAAATTTTTTTGCACACCATTATAAAATTCATTTATTCAAAGATAATTCAGTGAAAAACCATATTTAATAATTATTATAATAATTATAATAATAATAAAAATAATTGTTTTAATAAAANTTGATGGTTGACCTTCATACTATTAAAGTAGCATTTTCCATCGTGGAATGATGTAAGTTTGTTGGCATATCAAACAACATGAACGCAACATGGAAAATGTTGGACCATCAAATGATGTTAGACCCTCATGTGTGGCACTGAAACCAACATAAACCATCAAAATTTTTTGATGAAACCATCAAGAATTTCGACCTGGGATAATTATAATAATTATTATTGTAATAATTATAATAATTATTGTAATAATTATAATAATTATTGTAATAATTATAATAATTATTGTAATAATTATAATAATTATTAATATAATAATTATAATAATAATTATTATAATATATTAATTATAATAATTATTTATTATTTTATTTAACAATGGTTGAAATATTTTGTATTGTAAGATATAAATTTTTTTTACATCAATTCAAGAAAGGCAATTTTAAATTGAGAAAAATACTAAATTTGAATGAAATTTTTTCGAACAGTTCTTAATAATTGAAATTCAAAAAGAGTATAGTTAAAATAATTTAGTCGCTCTCCTGACTAAACTGTTGGGACAATATTTTGAGGGTTAAGAATCCAAATCTGTCGCGAAATCAGTATGTTTATTCAGAGAAAGCACGTTTTTGTGTCTGATTTTGAAATTTAAAATGTTGTCTGTACTAGTTAATTGGTAAATTTGATGTCCCTCGAACCATTAACATTGAGTCCTAGTACGTGAAAATTCGCAACACCCGCAACACCCTATTGGTAATGAATATTCATTCGAGTTCATTGATTTTTGCTCCTATTTATTTATTATTCAACTACAATTCGGTGATTTGTTTCTTATTATTTTACAGTGGTTTTTTGATGTCTTATCTATACTTTCAAGAATGTGCCAAAAAGCAAGGAAAAACTCCGTGGCTTTATTTTTATGTCCATCGTTACTTGAGGTAAGTTTAAAGCATTATTATCAGAAAAAGCTAATTAAGTTGAGAGTCACTTGAATTTATGAATAAATTATTTTTTAATCATGCAATATTTCTTAATGTAGTCATTTATAGGAAGCCACTTTAAATACTCTTGGCATTTCCGGAAAAATTAAATTCCTAGTGCACTTTAGCATCCAAATAGAGTCTCGGTGCTGCCATCTAGTGTGGCAGAAACTAGACGTCCAAATTAACATGGCCAACGGTATCTCACCCATTGTGGTGGTCCTGAAAGAGTGGATACCACTTCTGGAGAACGCACTAGGTCTGCTCATCGGGAAGACTTATTGTGCAGCTCATTGGAAATAAAAAAAACTGTAAATACTTATCGGTTATTGGGAGAATGTAGTCAAGTACGCCAATATGTAGGTGCAACTCCAGATTTCACTGCCTACCGGTTACCGATAATATTCATAAGTGTATCAAATACTACAATATCGCGATCTTCAACAACAACAATAAGCATCAAATACGATAATATCGCAATCATTACAGACAACATGCAATATTATGAGAGCTGATCAATTTTATTCGGGGCACTGGCTGATGATAGGCTAAACTTTACCTAACAATCATGAGTAAGTGTTACAAATTCACAACAATTATTAAACAAGTATATTATTCGACAAAAAGTATGATTTCATGCAAAAAACAGAACATTCGAAAAATAACCTTAAACTATTTCAGTTAAAAACAAATTTATTACATTTCTGAACATAACTCCTATAAAAGCTCAGTGTACTATTTTATTTGAATAATATTTATTTATCACTTAGGTTAACACCGGTGTATATGATTGTCCTGGCATTTTATGCAACTGTCATGCCAATAATGGGATCCGGACCGTTTTGGCAAGATAATAATGTTGATCCAAACTGCCAGAAGGGATGGTGGTGGAACTTAATTTACATCAATAACTTTCAAAATCAAAGTGAAGAGGTAGTATTGACTGTGTATTATTTACTTTTAATTTATGATTGATTTCTATCTTTACATAAAAGGAATGTATTAAAAAATATTTCAATTTCGTCCATAGATGATTTTTAAACTATGTAGTTTTTTCTTTGCATATATAGTATTATTTATATTTAGCCATACAACTTTAAAAAAAATATTAAAAATATATTATCGGATTTCAATGAAAAGCGTTAAAAGCGGTATTAAAATTATATTGTTCACTGTTTTGTAGTCAAATAACGATTGGCCACTTTTTACTGTTCAATTTCTCTTTCTTGAAATGGGTATTTCCTAACCTTCGTTGAACAGCCGACCCAATTTTGGGGTTTACGATTACTAATGTTCAACTCCGTAGCTTTGCAATTTTCAACCCAATTCAGAAGACAAGGGAACTCCTGGATCAAGTATTAGGAAGTTCGACTTCCTGGAGATCATTTTTAATGGAACTAACCCGCATTTGCGTTATAAGGAAAGGAAAACTATGAACACATGCCACGGTTAGGATGACGGCAAGGGGACTTTAACTTGTGATCCGTCTACCACTGAGGATATTTTACGTCAGCACTGTGGTTGTTGCAAGCCGGGTGATGAATTCGTATCTACCAGCCATTGCTAGGATGTGAACCCGGTTCAACTCATTGGAAAAGGAACGCTCTATGACCTGAGCCACAACGGCTGTGCAATCGGTATTAAAAAAATTAAAATAAAACAAATTAAAAAGGCTGCGCACTAAATTATTTTCATCGGATTTTCGATTACTTTTGCATTCAGTTTTAGAATAGTGCGTATACCAGAAAATGGAACACCATAATGATTTTGTTCGTATAATTATTTCATATAATATATTTTTTAAAAAAAGCAACAAACAATTTCAGAATAATAATGAAAATCATTATTTTTTTTATCTCCTGCTTTATAAGTTATAAAAAAAGGTTGAAAGCATTTAAATTAACAAAAAAAATTTTAATTAATGGGAGAGGCATTAAATTAGTGATTAAATTTTTCATAATTTTGTTTGAAACAGCTGTACAACAATAATATAATCACATATGTTTAGAACTAAGAGTTTTTAAGAAATTTCAAATATACGATAAAATAGTACTTACATAATAATTGATTGAATATTGATTTTTTAGAAATTTTTTCAATCATTCTTCTTTAAAAATTAATAAAAAATAATAATTTCACACCCGTGAAATATCTTTTAGTTTAAAACATAGTTAACATTCTGAAAAATCTACGCACAAAGTCTCAAAGAATTCTGTAATAAGCTTTTTTTTTGTAATGCGCGTTAGCGTAAAGAGAATTTCTCAAAAAAACGTTTTCTGAAAGTGATTTTAAAGCCAAACAATACGAAAACAATTTCTTTCACGCGAATAAAATAATTAGAAATCATAACGCACATTTTCAATTTAAAGACATTTAGAAAGCTAATAATCAAAAGTTCAAAGATAAGCAATAAAAAAAACAAGAAACTTTCGTCAAAAGTGCCTATTTTTTCATTCAGTCGAATACTTTAAGTTTGAATGTTGGTTTAAAAAGCACAGTTTTATGGACCAAACATAACTTAACGAAAGTTAAAATACAGACAATAAAGAGTAAAAAAAAAAAATTCGGAATTTTGTGGATATTGCCTATTTTTACACCCAGTCGAATAGTTTCAGTTTGAAAATTGATTTCAAAAACATATTTTTGCTGAAAAAACGTAAGTTCAAATATAGACAATAAAAAGAGAACACAAAATCGAAATTTTAATCGAAATTGCCTGGTTTTTCACCCTGCGAGTATTTTAAGCTTGAAAATTGGTTCCAAAGACATGTTTTCGCTGACCAAACTTAACGTTTCTTCGGCTGATGAGGGTTCCTGAAACTTCAGATGGGTGTAGCCGCATCTGGAAAACAAGAGAAGGATTTCTGTCAGTGGCACTTCACAATTTTTATATTCTTCAGAAATTCGGGAGCACGAATCCTTCCGAATAATCAATATTTATTTCGACAAAGTATTTGGTGCCTAGTTTAGTAAATTAATTGATTAATTTGCATTACTTAAGTTGGTTCTCAAACTATGAAACTATTCAATAATTTGACCATAGGTTATACAAATTGTAACGTTTTATTTTGTTTCGATTAAGTGTACATATTTATGTATCTGGGAGTAAAGATACACATTGCATTTGCTGATTGCATTGCATTCAATCACGGTATTTTTTTTCAGTGTATGGGTTGGTCTTGGTACTTGGCGAACGATATGCAATTCTTTGTCATTAGCCCACTATTTCTTATAACACTCTGGAGGTAAATATGAATGCTTGTTTATGCATGTACATTTATTTTTTTTAAAAATTCTTCATGCTTAATGTTTAGTTATATAAATAAAATTTTTTTGTAGGACTAATCCTTTAAAGCTATATCGATTTATAACGAAAATAAAATAAATGAATCATGGTTAGCATATTGAAAATTTTAAATCTAATATATATAAGTCTCTTACGTGGCTCTCAAATTTTGGCTGTATTTCTTTTCCGCTGGTGGCAACGTTTGCTTTGTTTTGTTTACGTTACTATTTCTCTTACACGGCGAATCGACCAGTGATTGCCGCTAAAAATGTCACATGCCAAATCTAGCTGAGGTGGCTCAACATATAACGCTTTTAAAAACGGAAACTGAAATAACCAGAGAGCATCAGCTGCGGCAATCTCATACTATTAAGCTAGGCAGAAGTGAGTAGTCTTTGTCGATAGATCTCTATTTTAGTATTTTGTCGAAAGCGNTCACCTATAATTATTTCCTTAACGTTTCTTCGGCTGATGAGGGTTCCTGAAACTTCAGATGGGTGTAGCCGCATCTGGAAAACAAGAGAAGGATTTCTGTCAGTGGCACTTCATAATTTTCATATTCTTCAGAAATTCGGGAGCACGAATCCTTCCGAATAATCAATATTTATTTTGACAAAGTATTTGGTACCTAGTTTTGTAAATTAATTGATTAATTTGCATTCAAGTGGGTTTTCAAACTATGAACCTATTCAATAATTGAACCAAAAGTTATTCAAATTGTTACATTTTGTTTTCTTTAGATTAAGTGTACTTATTTATGTATCTGGGAGTAAACATACACATTGTATTTATTTATTGCATTGTATTCAATTACAGTTTATTTTTTTCAGTGTATGGGTTGGTCTTGGTATTTGGCGAACGATATGCAATTCTTTGCTATTAGCCCACTATTTCTTATAACACTCTGGAGGTAAATATGAATGCTTGTTTATGCATGTATATTTATTTTTTAAAAAATTCTTCATGTTTAATGTTTAGTTTTATAAATTTAAAATTTTTTGTAGGACTAATCCTTTAAAGCAATATCGATTTATAACGAAAAGAAAATAAGTAAATCATGGTTAGCATATTGAAATTTTTAAATATTATTATAAATAGTGCTGCTTAATAGTCTAAATAGGAAAAGATTGCTTTCCTTTAGTGCCCTCATAAGGGTCGCAATTTATGTTTAGACACATCCCTAATTTCTCCGTATTACATTGTAAGAAATTGCCGTAAGACTTCATGAATTACTTGTTAATTTATATAGCCAGTTTCTTCTATTGAGAAAAAAGCTCATTATTCGTAATTTAATGGCAATACTTTAATTAACTAACTTTAATTAACTAACTAACTTTTTAATTAACTTCAGGCAATATAAATAGAATTAACGGTTAATTTATTCAGTTATTGTGTAAAGCTTTCTAGCTCAATTCGTTCCTGTAACCCTTTTCGATGATGTTCCCAGTATCAAGCCACGTACACGGAAGCCCTGAGTTCAAATCCAGTCGGTGTCAAAGAACGTCACTCTCACACTTCCTTCTACTTTAGACAACACGAATAACTCTCCCACTTCTCCATAGATGGCAGTAGTTCACTGCTTTGTCTCGTCCATCATTCGCCTTGATTCGATAAACAAATCGCACGGGTCTCAAACAATGCCAAGGCACCAACCGTGGACAATGGATATATATTTTACGAGAGAAGAAAAAGTTCATACACACCTATATTTTTATGGTCAAAATAGCTTTACGGGCATAAATTTATTATTATGGTCAGTGACTAGAGTACGTTTTATCAATCAAAATTTAACCTAGAGGTTAAATTTTTTGGAGTGAATTTCAGAATTATTTCTCTTAATTACGTTCAAGCATTCATAAGTTGATACTAATTTTTAAATTAATTCCTTTTTTTTTCAGTTTTGATTGTTTAAATTTTCTTCCAGGTGGCCTAAAGTGGGTTATTCAATGTTGTTGCTGTTTTTGTGGGGTTCTTGGCTTTCTGGTTTTTTAATAACTTACCATTATGACTTAATAGCTGGTACATTGAGTTATGTTGCGGACATTGATCAAGCAGCGACATTCACACTTAGGTAAGTGAAGGCTTCGTTTTTTATTTATTTTCATTCTATAATAACATACAGAGGGGAGATTTACACAGTCCGATCATATTAATGCGACCACCACCTAATGTGACCACTACCTAACCAAATGTGGAGAACCATGGGTCAATGTGGTGCACCATGGATTGGCATAAGATATGCTTTTGGAAAAATACACGGGTAATCGTAGAGCAACTGATCGCTCAGATGAACCAAGGGGTTACTAACTGTGTCTTTTCAACGATGATTCAGCGAACAATGCTGCATATAAGCTTACTCAGCACACCCCTGGTTAAGGTTAATATACCTATGCTGTTCAAAGGAAGGCTGGAATTTGAACTTGAAAAGCCAGTACTTCAACCGTAGATCCACCGAGTTGCAATAGGTGGGTTTCTTCGATAAATGTATATACATGTCACGGCGAAAGACCGAAATCGGTGGTTGTTAACTTTCACCGGTGAATGTCGACAAACACCAAATACGTTGGTGAAAGATCGAATATTTCATTACANATGTAGGGGAGAGTGGGGTCAATTGTAACAGGGTACGATTGTAACAGAGCAAAAATTTCGAGTGTCCGATTCTAGATTTGGTTCCTAGGTGGTGCACAATGTGTATTTAATAAGTCTACATGTACACCCCTGCTGGCAACCATTTTTATGTACTTTTGAAAGAGTTACATCGCAAGGGGCCATTCAAAAAGTACGTACATCCCGAAGGGGGGGGAGGGGATTTACTATTATGTACGGTTTTGTACGATGGGGAGGGGGGGAGGTATTCTACAAAGTACGTACTTTATAAACATACACCAAATTTAAATTTGACTTTATCCTACACACTCCTTAAGTAAATATTTAATTTTATTTAAAACATAATTATTTTAATTTTTATGAAAAAGGGGGGTAGACTAATAAAATGTACGTACTCTAAGGGGGGGAGTAAGACCTTATGTACGGTAATGTACGAAGGGGGGGAGGGGTTTAAAATTTCTCCATTTTTGTGTACGTACTTTTTGAACGGCCCCCAAAAGATACTTTTTTTGGTATTAGAATACGACGTAAGTACTTTTTTTGGTATTAGAATATTATATTGTAACAAAGTAATTTTGTTTAAACAAATAAAAATTATTAACCAAATATGCAAGTGGACCCCTAATTAACATTTCAAAAAAAGAAGATTAGTTTTGTTAGTTAATTAGCATTGTTTTTAACAAATG